GTGAATCTATTACTGGCACACATAGGTCTTGGGGGATCTCCGCTCCCACCCAGGGTCAGACATCGCAAATGACAATTATAATCTTTTGGAAGAACCCCAACCAGATAAACACACGGAGGAAAAACTAACGATAGGTATTGCCACTCGAAACAAGTATGGCTAAAATGGAAGCGATGTAATGGGAATTGACATTATATGCAACTGGTGTTTAGACCTTGGTGGAGGGAGTGGTGGGGTGGGGTGGGGTGGCTTTATATGTCTGTTGGAACTGTACTATCAGAACATCATAACAGAGTTGGCCCGCATACGACGTCCTGTCATAGATAGCCTGAGGCTAAGGGCTGAAGAGACACGTGGTTTAAGTACGCCATAATGGAATTTGTATTCCACACAAGATTATGGTCCTAAAATAGAAAAATGGTTATACAAAACAGAGTATGTATGTATATGTTCAGAAGTAGTAGTATGAGTCGTGGGCATAGAAGATAATTGTAGACACCGGCGTAAACGTAATAGATGCCCAATAACAGCAACAGCCACGTGTCGGCATGTGCATGACATGCACGTGCAGAACGCACATCTACAGCGCTCGTGATCATCTGTGGGCAAAGTGAGTGAATGTTGTTTTACGTTACAGGGAGCAATATCCCAACTTCATCATGGGATTTCGGGGATTTTGGGTCGGGTGGGTATTTGATTAGGATGGGGTGGGGGGTCATGAAACGGGTTGGGAGGGGGATGATTGTTTATATTCTGCAATTTCGAATTCCAGAATTCCCTAGTTTAATTGACTTTGTGTCCACTTCCATGATTACAATATTCGGTCACGTGATGGTTGCGTGGGGCTCTCTGTCACGTGATAGTTCCGTGCAACCTTCTACACACTAGGAAGGGACAAAAGCGTTGGAGGATCATGTCCAAATCATTTTATAATAACAATTTATGTACACACTCCCTCCGCGCCTATCTCCCTGCTGCCTATATAATGAGAACTTCAATGAGAAACAGTTTTTCTCTTATTTTTATTCAATTGAAACTTGTCATAAACCAGCGCGAATGGGACACGCGGGGTAATTTAGAGCAATATGGCGTAATTATTCCTTGTTCGACAAAATTGATAAAATGATTGTTATTAAAGAATGTGAGATTGAACAGACCTTATTACATGCGAGATGTTTTGATACGGTTTCTTATTAACAATAACAATTTTGGAACTGATATCATCTGTTACACGCTATGGAAACTGGCTTGAAATTGGTTGGAATTATTTTTCGTGTTATATTGAACTCCGCATTGACTCATTTAACGACTTAATACACGCCAACTGGAAAACCACGTGACTTCAGAAAACATATCTGGAAACACAATGTGTACACTTGCTAGGTGAGTTGCTCGGTGAGTTGCTAGGTGCTTTGCTTGGTGTTTTGTTCCGTGAGTTGCTAGATGCGTTGCTACGTGTATTGCTCATTGAGTTGCTAGTTGTGTTGCTAGGTGAGTTGCTACATGAGTTGCTAGGTGAGTTGCTCGGTAAGTTGCTAGGTGCGTTGCTAGTTGAGTTGTTCGGTGAACTGCTTGGTGTGTTGCTTGATGAGTTGCGCGGTAAGTTGCTAGTTGTGTTGCTCGGTGAGTTGCTCGGTGAGTTGCTCGGTGAGCTGCCTGGTCTCTTGCTAGTTGCTCGGTAAGTTGCTAGGCAAGTTGCTAGGTGCGTTGCTCGGTGAGTTGCTAGGCGAGCTGCTAGGTGAGTTGTTAGGAGAGTTGTACACGTTGATTGGCAGCAACATAGCATAGCTCAAATCCAAAGTTCCAAAATTAATTGTTCGGGAAAGACAATTCGCCAGGTTATTCTGCAAATATTATTTATCATTCGACCCCAGCACCCGATAGCCAACCGTCTACCGTAGCACCCAACAATGTTTTGACACTGACATCAGATATGAATCTGGACAAGAATACACAATGCCTTTTCAGAAGGATGTCAAATGTAACAAATGCACTATTTGGGATTACACTCTCTCAGAAAAGTTCCAAATTCAAGTAATTTTTTTGGTTGAGTCCCATCCAGGATTCGAACCCACACTCTCAGAGTGAGGCACCTAGTCGCCATCACACAATGTCAGCGATCTTCCCCACAATGGAACTCTGACAACTGGTAGTCCAGGGGCCACTTGTACCAAGCGATCTTAGCGCTAAAATTATCTTAAGCCTGTGTTAAAGTATGGGAGTCACAATCATCTCAGCGCTAAGATCGCTTTGTGCAAGTGGGGCCAGATCATGTACGGCAATCTGCCAAAAGAGGGCGCTGACTTGACGGAAATAGACGAACGTGAAATTGCACTACGGTGGCTGAGTGGGACAGGTCGCTGACTTTTTGTGCTGGCGACGAGGTGCCTCACTCTGAGAGCGTAGGTTCGAATCCCGGATGGGACTCAGCCCCCCAAAATACATTCATTTGTACTTTTCAAAGCAAGTGTTATCCCAAGTATAACATTTGTTAGAGTCTGGATAAGACTAGTGATGACGTATTTGTCTTTGAGCTACAAAAAGCGCACATAAAATATACTCTGTTTCGGCAAATTTCAGTGAAGGTACCCGATGCTCTACAAGCGTATGCAGGGTGTGAACGGAAACACGTGTGTCGGGTGTATTTTACAACATCTTGGGTGTGGCACATTTTAAATTATCAAGACCATTCATCAAATACTGTTTTAAAAAAAACAAGGCGTGTTTATATTCTTACTCACCTCCATGGTGTATGTTGAAGCAGGAACAATCTCATTAAAATCAGATCTTAGTTCTCGCTACCGCTAAACAAAGATCTGAGGACATCCCATTAACTTTGACCGAACAATGGAATGACCAATCAGAAGGCAGCTTTCTCGTGCTTTACGGCACTAATTTCAAATTGGCGACTACGCTTCGAAACATATTTTGACAAATTCTCGATTACAAATTTGAAACCTGAACAAAAGGACATTCTGGTATGGCTAATAGATGGTCTAGATTGTATGGGTTCAGTCGTTAAACCCGTCACTATCGTTCGGAGTTAAAGTTTTCGAGGTTGCATGATTAGAAATCACATTCCGACTGTCACTTTCATAATCTGGTAAGCGATTCACTGACTGGTCGGATGGAAGGTCGTTCTGACGTGACCCGTAATGGGATGTCCACAGATCTTTGTTTACCGGTAGCGAGAACTGAGGTCTGATTTAAATGAGATTGCAGCAGGAACGGTATCACTACCGACGTCCCCGTTTTCGCTGGGGTGTACTTATCTATATCACCAGGTTACGATCCGACAAACGCCTGGTTGTTAAATAGAGGCCATATAGACAAAGCTGGGGTGGGGGAGATGACGTCTTGGGGGGTGGGGGTGGGTAGGGGGGTTTATACATACACAGTCAGGGGGTTGACGCTACAAGATGTTAATACAGTCATACCAGAACGGCTTTGAGCCTGTCGCTGTTAAGTCTCAACTATCTATTTACAGTTAGTAACCCGCATAAGATATATCTGTCACATAAATACGACAGATATGTAAATTTGCCAATTCATGCTGTTAGAGTTTGTCGTGCCGTTTACGAACCGGATTTCGATTTCAGTGCGCGATTTTGATTGGACTATGCATAGACTCGTTAGTCCAGCCAAAATGTAACTCCATAATACCAGCCTAGTTCGGCAAGGGTGGAAACTGGACTTTTATAGTCAGTTAACTCACTTGCCTCGGGAAGATGATTCTAACCCGGATCTTCACTGGGGGTCTCATAATCAAATACCGCCTGAGTACACGAGGTATGCATCACGGTTTGTCCACGTGGCTGGTATCCGTGTCACGGTTAACCAAACTAGCTGGAAATAAATAGAAACAAAGATGTCTTTGTTTCACATCCTCTAACATAGGGATTGCAATTGTAACAACCATCTACTCCGTGCTGCTGAAGGCGCATATGTCCGCCAAACAGCGAAAACACCCCTGGTCACGTGGCATTCCAGTGACATCTCATTGTTTCATAAATAAAACGACAAACCCCTTTCCATATCCAATAGAAATATCTGCATAAAGCAGAGGTGATTGTACCATTCCGACTGTATCATGATCATGTGTTTATGAATCACTATCAAATAGTGATTATAACAGGTGTTCGCGCAAAGATGAGCGTATCCCGCCACACCGGTGAAACTTTAAGAAAGCAATGTTAATGCGAGATCCTACGTAGAATGACACAATGGAGCGGAGATGTCTGTGGGAGACAGGTTATTATTCGGCCACGCGTATTTTTCTGGGAAAGCAGGAGTAGAACAAATGTTTTATTAATAACACATTGTTTATTAACATCCCATTGTTTTATTAATAACACATTGTTTTTTAACATCCTGTTGTTTTATTAATAACACATTGTTTTTTAACATCCCATTGTTTTATTAATAAGACATTGTCTACTAACATGTCATTGTTTTATTGATAACACATTGTTTATTAACATCCCATTGTTTTATTAATAACACATTGTTTTAGAAAAATAATTTGTTCCCAAAAACGTGAAAATTAAGAATTCTTCCTCAGGGATTTAATTTGTTTTGTGACTCTGAATAACCTGGTCCGGCCCCTCCCCCCAGAAATATAATGGACGATCCCTACAGCGTTACAGGAAGATTGTTGTTTACTATTGGTGATTATCTGTGCAGAAGGACGAGGCAAACGGTCCGACAAAATCTCACATGTGATATTTTCGTACACTAGTGATCTGCTGCTCTATACTGCATGTTTGGAGAGATAGCAGTTTGTGCTGTCCTCGAACCAGAGTTATGAAAGGGATGCAAAAACGCGTCTGCAACAAGACCTGGCGTACGTCCTACATTAACTTGCTTGCACAAAAGGCATGCGACGGATGTAATTTGATGCCCGGTGGCCGCTTCGTTACGCTTTCATTACAATGCATGTCTTGGTTTTTTTTCTAGTTAACTGATACTTTATGTAGTTAAAGTGTGGGGTTTTCGTGTACGCATTCGGCGTCTTGAAATACATACAATCTAGATAGAAGTGGTTGAGTCCTAGTCTTTGCTTGTTGTCACGAATGGAACCTTTGAAAGCTCACAAACGCAATCGTTATTCGGGAACTGTGGTGTTTCGATTGGTTACTGAGTATTTCTCTCAACAGAAGAATGTCAGGGAAGAGACTACATACATGACCTCTGACCTGGAAGGGGTCAGCTAAACGTCGTGTCAGACCAGTTCATGGCTGTTACCTCTTTAAATGGCTTCGGACAATTGCCAGTTCCAGCAAGTGTGACAGCTTATTACACAGGGAAAATACCCAAATATCTTAACTGGACACGGAGCAGAGTCTCCCTTTAACTAGCCGCTGACCTCTGTGACCTTTGTGTTTGCAGGTTCCTGTGATCAGTGTGAGGAAGTGTTGGGCAAGGTGAAGGACAGGAGTCAGGAGTCGTCCTTCCTGTGTATGGACATTGCAGTCACCGTCCTCAACAACAAACCATACAAGAAAAAGGTTTTATACTTATATACCTATAGTGAGTGAGTGAGTATGGTTTTACGCCGCTTTTAGCAATATTCCAGCAATATCACGACGGGGGACACCAGAAATGGGCTTAGCACATTGTACCCATGTCGGGAATCGAACCCGGGTCTTCGGCGTGACGAGCGAACGCTTTAACCATAGTGTTAGATCGGAATGATACAGTGATGACACAACTGTGTTTTATGTCATGCCATGTCAGTATTCGGCTACGCTCAGCTTCCATGCTGAGCACCCCGATCAAGACTAACGTCTAACGGCCTTCCCACAAGCAACCTACCTCACTTACGTCACATATACAAGCACACGGAAAATTACTTACCAGCAAACAAATAACATATGATTGAACGCTATCAATCGATGTGCGTCGCCATCTTGATTAAAGTCAAGCTCTCGCGGGATCTCGTTTATATTTATTAACTAACTTTGACAAAATCTTTCGACTGAACTGTCCATTGATTTGCTTGGTGTTTGTAGTAAGTGTTTCATCGCAATATAACATCAATCTAATGCCAGTATGTCGGATTCAGACTCGATTGGCTACACCTGCCGTGATATAGCCGGCGCACTGCTCACTGTGGCGTGAAACACGGCTCATGTAGATTGTCCCCCTTCATTCCCTTGACCTTTATATTCAACCAGGTGAAAGAGGAGAGGAAAAGAGAGAGGGTGAACAAGTTGGAGGAACTTGTCAAGAAGGTGACTGCACTGAGGAACTCAAAGGGAGGCATCCTGCTCGTGCACATCACAGGACTTGATAGAGGAGACAGGTTTCTGGGATACTTTGACGAATTTGTGGATGAGAAGTTAAATAAGCTGATCGAAGACGGGAAACAGTTTGTTGATACCTACAGTCGTGTGTGGTTGTCCGATGAACTGGAATTCGCTGCAGCGAACAGTTTCGTGTGTCTGACGGTAAAATCATCCTCAAGTATATCCACCACCGACTTCAAGACAAAGATTCCTTTGGACAGTGCGATCGAGAATCCTTCAACTACAAACATCCTCTCCCTTCTAGCCCAAAGAAGGAAGTTCTCGGACAGAGACCCTCAGATCCGAGGTAATCTCCAAAACCTCGCTCAGCTCAACGAGAGCAGGAACGTACAACTCAAAGCATTCTTGGTGGAAACCAAAAAACGCGAGGAACTTCTGAAGAACGTTAGTTCGTTGTGTGATTACATCTGGAGGGACCTGAGGCTCCGTGAGTACATCAGTGCCTTTACCAAGGTGGAATCGGGGGGATCATTTTTTCTTGGAATCGAAGAAAAGGAATTGGGATCCAAACATGGAGACTATTTTACGAAGATCGTGCAAGTCCACGGCGTTCCTCTGCCAGTGAATGTCCATGGTCCTCTGAAAGACAGGATTGTCGACGTTGTGAATCAGAATCTTCTTATCTGTAATTACGACGGAGAAAAGATTCAAATCCCAAACAATTTCGTGGAGATTGTTTTCCACAACGCCAGTGAGTACACTCGGAACAACAGAGCAAACACCGACGTCGACGTCTACGTCGTCGAAGTCTCCGTCAAGCAGACTACTGGGATCGTGTTTTACGAGAACTCGGGTCCCAAGTCGTTTCTGCTGGATAAGAACGGAATTGTCCCTGTGGACGGGAAGAGGTGGTTCAGGATGATCAGAAAACTCACAGACATTTTCAAAGAAAAGAAGTAGAAGATGGAAGGATGTGGTCCAGGTAAGTACCGTCCGCATACAGTGAAACCTCGTCAGTCCGACCCTGTTAATCCGGACAACTAACAATCCGGACAACTGAATCTTGGGATGCGTTCATTTATACAAAGTTACAGCATCCATAACCTTCATTCATTAATAACAAAAACCTGTTGGTCGGGACTATTTAACTTGGAACGCTACTGTCCGTTGTAACGAGGTTACACTGTACTTATTTCTATTACCGTGTTACTCATGATCAGTGTTCTAAGGCGCTTGTCAGAGTTGCGTCCCTTAATCGTGTCAGGATTAGCTGGTCGTGGGTTCGAGTCCAAAATTCGTGCCGATTATGCGTGCGCATCCTGGTAGGTTTCACAGACAAATGTTACTTTGTGGCTTTTCTCCGTGATGTTCCTGAAACATTGTTCACGGTGCCGTTAAATCAACTCACGCTTTCCAACATAAATCAGAAGTCAACGTATTCTTTACAGGCACAGGGGGCACGGGTGGCCCAGTCGCCTAAGGCCCAGCGATCGCTGTGCGGAGTTGCGTCCCTTGGGCACGCCAGAAACCTATGCTTGTGGGTTGGAATCCCGGTTCGCCTCGAACATGTTTCTAGGTTTGTCAGCACCATACCCGTGCTCGTGGGTTTCACCGAAGTTGTGAAACGACTGAGATCTGCATCATGTCGGTGCATCATGTTTAAGTATTCGTAGCGTTCTACTTAAGACTTTCCTCACACATCAAGAGGACACGCCGTGTTAAAACTGAAATACCGTTCAATGCGGCTTTAAACCAACACCCGGCCCACTCGCTTTTCGAACATGTTTTCCTCGTTAAACATATCCCCCGGTGACGTGATCATAGCATGAACACTGCTTCCTCCTTGCGAACACTCCCGCTGGGGCTAGGGTTACAATCACGTGGCGGTAATTCAGGCAAGTCTTTAGTGTCGTGTCTCGTGTAGGTAAGCGTCACATTGGCTCCACTGACAAACACGCCGAAAGCTCCATGGTAGGACCATTTCTACTTATTTATCTACGTTGTCAACTGAAAAAGACTCACGGAAAGAGTAAAATGATCGTAAAATATATACTACTCAAAAGAAGTTAAGGACCTCCCGATTCTTTCATGTTACTATATTTAATATGTCATGCCATGACAGATTTATTATTGTAATGTGAAAGAATCGGGTGATCCTTAACTTATTTTGAGTAGTATAGTTGTTTCACTATAGCCGCTGCGTGGCTGATATTATGTCGTTAAATGTGAACACGCGGTGTTTCTTGAATATTACTATAAGATTTTACTCACAGTTGTCATTGTGATAATGTTTAACTTATTATTTTGCCGTAAAAGGTGACTATGCTTGTCGTAAAAGGTGACTATGCTTGTCGTAAAAGGTGACTATGCTTGCCATAAAAGGTGACTATGCTTGTCGTAAAAGGCGACAGACGGGATCGGGTGGTCAGGCTCGCTGACTTGGTTGATGCATGTCATCGATCCCAGTTGCGTGGATCGATGGTCATGATATTAATCACTGGATTGTCTGGTCCAGACTCGATTATTTACAGACCGCCGTCATATAGCTGGAATATTGCTGAGTGCGGCGTTAAACAACAAACCAACAACAACCAATCATATTTTGATTGACCGTTTTGATTTTAACAGTGGTTTAAGTGATGAGTTTAACATTACTTTATTGACGATTGTTACCATGCGTTCTTTTGCGAGTGTATAACCAAAGTTTTTACGACTGTTACAATTATGTTCTTGGTGGTTGTTACCATGGTTACATGTTTGTTCCAGTGACGCAGGACGCTGGGGACGACGTCGTGGACGCTGGATTCATCGTCGACATGACGGGTAAGTCTAGCGGTGAAAAGGTATACGTGGTCTTAACGCCGGCTGCAGGGTATTCACAAAATGGATGACCACGGGACCTGATTCCACAACGTCGTTAACGTCGGCGGTCGTTCAACGTCGTCATAACTTGCGTTGTTTTACGTTTGATCACTTTACGGCGAAACCTCCGTTCCTAGTGGAATCCATCCTCGATTCTCCATTCTTTAATGAGAAATATCCTGGATTCATTCGCCACCCAAGCTCCGTTTTTGAAATTATGTCACAAACTCCACTTCTGGCATATTTTTGCGACAGTTTGTAGCGTCGTTGTTAGAATTGATCCCCAGCAACCCATGCTTGTTGTCAGAGGCGACTAACGGGATCGGGAGGTCAGGCTGGTTGACTACGTTGAGTCATGCCATCGTATCCCAGTTGCTTGGATCGATGCTCATGATGTCCATCACTGGATTGTCATGATCCAGTCTCGATTAATTACAGACCGCCGTCATATAGCTGGAATATAGTGAGGCGGTAAACAACAAACAAACAAAAAAACAAAGGTCTACAGCAGGACGATGTCCTGATGAAGCCCGGCCCGTTCCCTGACTGACGTACAGTAAACTACGTTTATAACGAACTCGCTTATAACGAACTGACGGATATAACGAACTTACTTTTTGGTCCCGACTATTTTCTGTAGTTATGCTGTATATATGCTTATAACGAACTACGGTTATAACGAACTAAAATTAGTGGTCCCTTTGAGTTCGTTATAACCGTAGTTTACTGTGTATGTAAGCAACACCTATCTGTCTGCAATACCAGGGCGCCAGCTCCGTCTGGTCTGGTCAGCGTCTGTACCATCACAAAGCGATGGGAGTGTTTTCATCATATGGAAGTGGTGCTTAACTCCAGACATACAAAGCGAGATCTAAACTTGAATGTCCGTGTTTCTCACTGGTTGTAAATATTCCACTTAGTGGCCCCTCCCTTGCCAAGCGTAAAGAAATGGGGACCTTAAGGCTTAGGAGTCATGTCAGTAAGTCTGTCAGGGCCAGACAAACTAGTAGTTGATATACGCAGTCGTCCGATGACACACGATCCACCAAGTGACCGAGCCAGACCACCCGATCCATTTAGTCGCCTCTTACTACCAGCATAGTTTAGGGGCCGACCATTTGATACTCTACAGGTGACCTGTGATATTATATAAAATTTTTTAATAATTATGGTTCACATTATTGCAGAATCTTTTTTGTCTGCTACCAAAATTATATTGCTGCAATGTGTTTTTCAGAAGAAAAAAAATTGGGTTTTGCAGCTGTAGCTGAATACAATATCCCCCCCCCCCCCCCCCCAAGAACATCAAATGTCCGGTCCTTTACTGGGACCTCGTCTATCCTGGAATCACTACGGGGCCTCGAGTCTTCATGTGTTAAAGTATGAGTACAGGGATAGAATTCAGATGATACCAAAGGACACGTCCCTGACTAGAGTGGATAACGTTTGAATCCGAATTCATTCATATTCTTGCTGGAAAGGTCACAAGTTTAATCGCGTTGAGGTGTAATTTCCATTATCCGTCTTTGTCACTATGGACGTGTTGTCTCGTTCCCGCGATGTCGTGCTGGACTGAAACACGCTGGTGACGTTGTAACGTCTCTGCATTTTGTACTCTGCGGTGGAAGGTCACGGAGATCAGGTAGTCACGTGTTATCTCAAGTGTCGTTATAAGGAAAACTTTGAATTTGAAAAGTCCGTTTGTGAGATCAATCAGCAGATAAAATTGGTCCGTAAGTACGTTGACAGTCCTGCACTGAATAACACGGAAGTAGTTGACCTGGTAATATCACAAGAGAATCCACGGAGTGAGTCCGAGTAACTATTTAGAGATCTTAACATCGCCCGAGGTCTTCTGAATGACCAAACTGTCGCCCGATGGCCGCTGAATCGATACAGAAGCTATCTCCGTATTTGGTTTACACAAGCGACTGCTGTGTACATAAAGGTACATTAGGCGTGGCCACTCACTTGACACTGTGACCAAACACGTCTGACGGCTTACCTATGCACCAATATCTTACAAAAGTAAGATTTGTAAATCTGATATAAATGGTGACGTCATTACTCTGATCTTCTGTGGTGTTTTCTTTTTCCGTGTTTTCCCGTATGTCACACGTTTTCGTGGTTTCCCAGGGCGTAGGAACTGTTATTTCAGACTTAATACGGAAGTTTTAATAATATGATTACGCTTTTCCAAACAGTGTTTATAACAGACAGACGTATGTTGGAGACAGATATTAACAGCAGTGTCTATCCATTTGAGAAGAATTTGATTTGATGATAATTTTAAAATGGGACCTGCCGTTATTAATATAGGTATGCCGTACTGATATTAATATAGGTACTGCCGTTGGTACTGATATATTGGAGATGTGTTGACTGTGTAGACTAGCATGCCTCCACCAGATAGCCTCCACCAGATAGTGAGTGAGCGAGTATGGTTTTACGCCGCTTTTAGCAATATTCCAGCAATATCACGGCGGGGGACACCAGAAATGGGCTTCACACATTGTACCCATGTCGGGAATCGAACCCGGGTCTTCGGCGTGACGAGCGAACGCCCACCAGATAGTGACATAGATATGAAGACAAAAGGATTTGTTTGTTTGTTTGATTGTTGTTTAACGCCGCACTCGGCAATATTCCAGATATATGACGGCGGTCTGTTAATGATTGAGTCTGGACAACACAATCCAGTGACTGACATCATGAGCATCGATCTACGAAATTGGGATACGATGAAATGCATCAACTACGTCAGGGAGCCTGACCACCCGATCCCGTCAGTCGCCCCTTACGACAAGCATGGGTTGCTGAAGACAAATTCTAACCCGGATCTTCACGGTTGGAGACATTTGAAAAAATGACACTTCACGAAACGTTATTGTGTTTCGCTTTGTAGTTAAGGGTGGTATTGGGGTACAGTTGTTGAGATAAATGTCCTTACACTCCACCCCTTTCATTTCAGCCCGGGTACAGGAGGGGAATTGTCGCGCTTTCGAGCTTCCCAGCAACGACCCGTTTCTGCCGAAGCTGCACCAGATTGGAAACTCCCTCGACGACATTGCCAGTCACTTAACGCCCAAAGGTCACTCACTCACTCACTCACTCACTCAACCCACGCTTGCCGTGAAAGGCGACTATGCTTGTCGTAAAAGGCGACTAACGGGATCGGGTGGTCAGGCTCGCTGACTTGGTTGATGCGTGTCATCGGTCCCAATTGCGTAGATCGATGCTCATGATATCAATCACTGGATTGTCTGGTCTAGACTCGATTATTTACAGACCGCCGTCATATAGCTCGAATATTGCTGAGTGCGGCGTAAAACACCAAACAAACAAACACTCACTCACTCAATCTCTCACTTACTCACTCAATCTCACTCACCCACTCACTCACTCGATCACACACTCACTTACTCATCCAATCTCTTACTCACTCACACATAATATTATACGATGTCTTCAGTAAAATTTTTATATTTTTTTATGTCACCTTGGCAACTGCAAAAGTAGAGACGTTATCTCTCTGCTCTGGTTTGATTCTCAAGTATAAAGTTGTAAATCTGATATTTCTTTTCACTTTTGCCAGTCATAATCACCACGTGGGTAAAAAGAATGAATCATTTTTTGGCGTAACCCACCTGTAAAAGTGCTAATGACATCTACTTCCATGAACGTTGCAGGCGGTGTGAGCTTTTACCCCCGGAATATGGGCAAGAATCCCTCTACACTGGTGAAGAGCCTGTGCTCCCGGATAGAAGAGAAATACACCTCAGATGAACAGAGTTTGGTGTATCTTGCTAACTCCCTCTCTGTCACCATCAATATCCCCATACAAAAGGTGCCCCAGCAAGTCGTCTGTGACGTGTGTATCGTGTCACAAAGCGCGCCTGTCGTTGTCATGACGCTCGTCGGGAAAAATTCGGAAGCACCCGAGCTCGTTGACTATAACCTCCAGATTACCAAGGGCTTCGTGTCTCAGGTCCGTAACTTTACCGACGAACACTTCAGTGCCCTGTATGGTGTTCTTCAGGAGAGTGACCTCGCGTCTGAGGCCTCCTTTCAGACTGCCATTGAGAGAATTCGGTCCCATTCATCCTCTTTCTGTATCCCCGACTCGTTAAGCATGAACGAAGAGAAATTTAGGGACATTGTAAAAGCCCTAGCGGCTTCAGTAGCGGTATCCAAGGCATTACAGGTGATCAAGTCCCCCGCACCGGAAGCTGTGGATGAGGCAGACTTTGAGGACGAAGAGGAGGGGGGTCTGTGGTTACTTACAAAGGATCAGTTTGTGCTGCTGACGGAGAATATCGACACCTCTGGAATGGTAGTGGTGTGGGCATCCACACATACGGGTTCCAGCACTCTCCTCATGGAAGTCGCGAGCAGGCTTCAACAAAGCGGGAACACCCTGCTGGTGTCAGGGTCAAAGGCTGTATGCGAATCTGCAAGGTGAGTACCGACAGTTTTATGACTCCACAGACTTGTGTCAAACCTTTTTTTATTTATTTATTTATTTATTTATTTATTTATTTATTTATTTATTTATTTATTTATTTATTTATTTATTTATTTATTTATTTATTTATTTATTTATTTATTTATTTATTTATTTATTTATTTATTTATTTATTTATTTATTTATTTATTTATTTATTTATTTATTTATTTATTTATTTATTTATTTATTTATTTATTTATTTATTTATTTATTTATTTATTTATTTATTTATTTATTTATTTATTTATTTATTTATTTATTTATTTATTTATTTATTTATTTATTTATTTATTTATTTATTTATTTATTTATTTATTTATTTATTTATTTATTTATTTATACCCGGATTACAACAGGCCCCCAGCAAGCCATTCCTAAATTTGATGGAGTGTGTGTCATGCTCTGTGACTACCTCGTGGTACTTGGCTCCTAATTCCAATCCCTGAATTGCCTGTCGTAGACTCAGTATGTTACAGGTCGTCGTTATATAGATTAAATCTTGATGACTTTGAAATAACTACAAAAAAAAAACCGAACAAAATCTGTGTTAAATCCTTAGTGAAATAGATACAGACTACCATTTCTGTTGCTTTAGACACAACCAGGTATGCTACCGGGTGGTGAGCAGCGCTGATTTCCTGCAGCTGCAGGCGAATATCGGCGGGATGCTTGCTGAGTTCGAGCATATCGTTGCAGAGGACATTCCCGAGGTGATGCTACATGGTGCCAGGAATAGTCACGTGTGGCTCTGCATGAAGGTCAAAGGTAACACAACTGGGATGGAATGGAAGCTTCCAATCTTCCTGAATGTATAACTGACTTTGAATATCAATCTAGAAGTTCCAATAATGTGTTGCAGTAAGGCAATAGTTCTATGTAGTACATTTTAAGAAACAAAGTTCAGAATACAATGAGTGAGTGTGAGTTAGTATGTTTTACGCCGCTTTTAGCAATATTCCAGCAACATCACGGCAGGGGACACCAGAAATGGGCTTCACACATTGTACCCATGTCGGGATTCGAACCCGGGTCTTCGGCGTGACGAGCGAACGCTTTAACCACTAGGCTACCCGACCGCCCCTCAAAATACAACAATTCCAGTCAAGAAATATCGGTAGAGTGTACGTCAGTGAATATAACGCCGCATTTGTGTTTTTTTGTACATAGGAACCCATCTTTGACTTAGTATTTCATATGTTCAGAAAACACAACTCCGAAAGGCAACGCCGCGTCTCCGAAATCTCCAGTCTTCGTATCCATGAACGGCCGCCCCCCCTTAAGCCCCACGACAGCAACGGCGGTGGCAGGTAAAGACCCCGTTTACAGAACCACCATCAGCTTCAGCCTCCCTGTGGACACCCATGAACCATGGGTATACGATTTCACCGTCGTCACGGACAATAACAAGAAGGTCATTGTGGCAATAGACCGTCCCAACTGCAGGATCAAATGTTTCTATACAGAAGACGGGGAAATACGTACCAGTTACCTGTCTGTTGACAAAGACACTACGGGGATTACAAACATTGACAACAGGGTTGCCCTCACTGTACCCAAATCACGCCTCATCCGGGTCATCAGCGTCATCCCTGACCTTCACCCTCACAGTATCATTCCTACTCAGAGACGTTACTATGACATCGCGACTTTGGGCTTCCAGAAGATGGCTGTGAGTGCGCCCCTTGATGGCCGGCCTTGTGTCGACATCATTGACTACAGCGGGAACATTCTCAAATCCATCGCCACCTACGACGAGGGTCAGACTTTGTTCAACCATCCTCTCACCGTTCAGACCATCTTCCCGAATAAGGTTCTTGTTTATGATAAACACAACGGCTCCATTGTGTGTGTATCCGAGCGAGGCCAGTTGTTGTTCAGATATATTCACGAGAGGAAACTTGAAAACCCGTGTGGGATGACCGTGACGCCAGCCGGTGACATCTTGGTGGCCGACTCGCGACAACATCGCGTCATCCACATCAACCAAGAGGGGAAGTTCATGAGGAACATTCTGACCCGCCCCAACGGCATGGTCTTCCCCTACCGCGTCTGCTGCGACGGCACGGGTGTGCTTTATGTCGCTACTCATTACAAGGAGGTCAAACTGTACGAGTTTAAGTGATATGTTGCAGCAACGAGGCCCAGTATGCTGTTTGTTTGTTCTTTAACGCCGCACTCAGCAATATTACAGCTTTATGACGGCGCTCTATTAATAATCGAGTTTGGACCAGACAGTGATTGCCACCATGCGCATCGATCTACGCAACTGGAATACGATGGCATGCATCAACCAAGTCAGCGAGCCTGACCACCCGATCCCATTAGTCACCTCTTACGACAAGCATAGTCGCCTTTTAAGGCAAGCATGGGCTGTTGATGACCTATTCTAACCCGGATCTTCACGGGTCCCCAGTATGCATCAGATGAAACTGGGTTTAAGTGACGTGTTGAAACAATGAGACCCATGAAACAGATCAAACTGTTTGAATTTAAGTGATGTGTTATAATAATGATATATAACGTCAACGCCAGAGAATAACCAGTCTCAATTATCCAACGGAACAGACTCCACTTGGCGTAAAAGGCAAATTGGCGGTGAAAATTATACGAATGGACCTTTAAAAATCTCAGGCAAAAAGGGTAAGCATATCGGGCGGACTGAGACTATTCCTGAAAGTGATGAAGCTATGAGAGTTTAAGTGATGTGCTGCAACCGTCAAGCTCGTCATAAAGAGTGACACGGGTGGCGTAGTAGTCTATGACGTCACAATTCGCTCTACAGAAGGTGCGTCCCTTTGACGCACCATGATCTATGACGTGGGTTTGAACCCCAGATTTCACCCGAATGATGTTTCTAGGTTTGTCCACACCACACCTGTGTTCGTGGCTATCACCAAAGCGCTAAACGTCTGTTCCCTGATGGACTTACTATCAAGCTAACACGCTGTGATAGAATTGAAAGACTGAACTAACTCACTCACTTCATGTCACAAGGTCAGACTAGCCGGGATCCTCGCTACATCCGCTGCGTTGCAGTATACAGTAAACTGCGGTTATAACGAACACGCTTATAACGAACTGACGGATATAACGAACTACTTTTTTGGTCCTGACTATTTCCTGTAGTTATGCTGTATATATGCGTATAATGAACTACGGTTAAAACGAACTAAAATAAGTAGTCCCTTTGAGTTCGTTATAACCGTATTTTACTGTACTTGTATGAATCGTATTGATAGAAGGACAAATTGTGTGCATCAAGTATCTTTCGGATCAACATCGCAACTCCGTCACTTTCTACTTTTACTTGTCAGTGATCAATTGTGTCCGGAAAATGCTATTCGTAATCAGTCGCGCGATCCCGGTACGAGGCGGTTGCACGGAAAGGTCCAGTGTTGCCATGTGGATGTCTTAGAAGGATGTGTATTTACACAGGACATATTTATTACCCAACAGTCCGACATCTGAAACCAAAACTGAAAACACTTTATGTGAAACATGTATAATACCGAAGTTACCATTGTTTGCCAATTGTCAGTTACTGAGATTGTACTTCATACGCTATAGCTCTCGTGTCGGCGAGATTTTGACGTGAAGAGCTTTCGTTCATTAATCATTTCCGTTTCCGGTATTTCACATTGTGGTGCAGAATAGATAATTGTACACATTTGTGTAAAACTCTTCATCATTTTGACGATATTACTTGACGTGTGCATATAACGCAATATTTTCCAATCGTTTTCCTGTTAACCCTATTGATCTGACAACGCATGTTACCATGCTACTGAGTGCTCCTAAATCATGTATGATTATATTTGTGTCGTTATTATGTGTGTGATTGACAGCGTGTGTGTTTTACTAAGGGTTGGTGAGATAGGCGAGAGACCGTACATCATTTACATCATGTGCAGAGTTGCTTCCCTTTAAGGATCCGCTAAGCATGGGTTCAGATCCAGATCCCCCCTCACTATGATCGTGAGTGTGTCAGCCTTGCTGCGGCCATCACCAAAAAAAACCCTGCGTCACGTGACCTGCGTGTCTTGGACGTTTCTGAATCGATACAAGCCAGCATGCAGTAGGATAACGGTAATGCTGCTCAGAAAGCGGCGTCAGACCAATTTTACTCACCCATCTTCATCACGCACATCATTTGTCCTCACACTTCCTGCTGTTGCAGTAGACAAGGAATCTGATTCCACATACAGTGTATTTACTAACTTTTGCCCCTGGATGTTATCCATACGATGCGAATGACGCGGAACATACCAATGAAATGCCAGCTTTTACTTTTACGTTCGTGAATGTATTGCTTTCTCAGATGTGCTTTTGTTAGAATTTTGTTGAATATATACTGAACAATAAAAGTTCCTGTGACATTGAATAAGATTTAATGCAAAGTTATGTTTTTTACCAAATCTGAAACAATTTCGGTTTGCAACAGATAAAAGACTCCTGTAAGTGTTCAAATGGTTTAATTTGCCATACTGACTTCAGAAAATGCGTGTTTTCATAAAAAACATGCCTAAATGTCAATTTACAAATCAATAGCGTGTGTGTCCACCTCTGGTTGCGATGCAAGCAACACATCTTTGTCTCATGGAATGGACCAGGCGTCGCACAAAGTCCTGTGGGATATCTGTCCATATCTGCTGGATCATGTTTCGAAGTTCCTTGAGTGTCTGTGGAACACGTGGTTGACGTCGAAGGCGCCGATCCATCTCACCCCACATGTGCTCGATTGGTAATAGATCAGGGGAGCGAGCCGGCCAGGGGATGACATTCACGTTGTTTTGTTGAAGGGAATCCTGAACAAGTCGAGCAATATAGGCCGGGCAGTGTCATGTTGAAAGGTAATGCCTGGGCCATGACGACGCAAAAACGGTAGAACAACAGGGCCGATGATCTCGTCGCGGTAGCGCTGTCCATTGAGATTTCCCTCTACCACTATCAAACAGGTCCCCTGTCTTGCTGTAATCCAACCCTAACGCTGTCGCCCCCGCTTCTTCCATGACACAATGATTGACGTAACGTTCACCTCGACGTCGGTACACTCGAATCCGTCCATTGCTGTGGCTGAGGTGAAAACAAGCTCGTCAGTGAATAGAACTTGTCCCCACTGCATGGCCGTCCAGCGTATACGCTGTCTGCACCACTGTAGATGTGCTTGGCGGTGGTTTCCTGTCAAAATGTGATGTCTGGCGGGTCTTCTGGTGACAATCCCTGCACATCTGAGGCGGCGACGTACGGTTTGTGGAGATATTCGTCGAAGGCCAGGGATCGATTTCGTAGTTGTGTTGTTCGAATCCAGTTGTCTTGTCGATTATTGGTTACGCGTGGCCTGCCACTCCGAGGATGGTCTCTGACTGCATTCGTCTGTTGCCAACGTTGCCATAGACACCAAATGGTGTTTCTGCGGACGTTAAATTGTCTTGCAACATCACGTTAACTCGATCCTGCTTCAAGCATACCAATGGCTCGCAGAAACTCATTTTCGGACAGGCGTGGCATTTCGTAATGTTGAATAATTGCGTAATTTTGTTGTTTTTCGGAGTGGTTGTTGTCAGCACGATGCTAAACAATGCATATGGAATCCCGTTAACGCACATGTTTAATACCCGTTTTTGGGTAGTGAAATGCATGGGGCTTGCATAAAAGTCAACTTTTGCATGGAATGCATGCTTTTCTGTAGCAGTTGCGATTTGTGACTTCATTCCATACATGTACTACAATATTGAAAACCAAACTTTAATTGTTTGAAAAATACACTAAAATATTGGTGTCACAGGAACTTTTGTTGATGAGTATATATGGAAGGGACACGCTTCATGTAAACACATATAACGTTTTGGAGGGGGGATAGGGGCGGAAGTGTTTCCTCCCCCGCCTCGGATTCAACTAACCATTTTGACGTTTAGGTACCAGGACTGAGTGCTCTCGCCGTAACGTGAACATTCTCTCCCTGAATCTTTGGACTACAGTGGGATTTTACTGGCGCTTCTATATGTGTCAAGCCATCGGTGAGGCGATGACACAGGCTGTTGCTTTCAAACTTCGTAAACTAGCATGCCTTTAGGGGTGCGCATAATGGCTACAGCGCCTTATAGTCAATCAACTATGGTCATCGAGCCTTCCCGTTTGCCACAGCCACTGAATAGAATAGTCTTCCCTTTCAACTTCTGATTTCTGAATTCTTAAATTCTGAATTGGAAACTTTGAGTCCAGAACTCGTCTAAGGGCTCAGTCACGTATTCAGGATTTTTACTACTCACAAACAATCAGAAACTGTTTAGGAAGTGTCCCGATTCAATCGTTTCCAGTCGAATTCGTCCCGATTCTCCCGTTCCTTATCCGAATCTGATCCGATTTGTATCTTCCGCATGGTAAAAAACGACCGAATCTGTCCCGACAGCGTCCCGATTCTCCCGTATGCGATCCGACAGAGATCAGACAGGGACCGGGCAGTGAACCGACAAAGACGGTTCGCATTCGGCAAGATCTGGACTCAATCGACAAGAAACGGCAATGAACAATTCATGCACGTTCATCACGACAGCGTCCCGATCCACAGGACACCGTCCAGACAACATAGGACATTGTTACGATTTTGATCCGATACGGCAGAATCTGTCACGACATAGTCACGTTTGTAATCCAACTCGACAAAGTCGGCTGAGTTTCCCGAATGTAACGGGACGCACCATACTGTCAGGAGTGCTTGGTCGACATCTCTCGACCTTTCCCGATCCGTAGGACTCTGTTACGAACGCATACGACAATGATAGGACATTCCCTATCGAGGATAGTAATCCGACTAGTTCACTTTTCGTGTCATAGCGCTGTCTGATCTCAAACGGGAGCCATAATCGGCACTGTGTGAAACTGGCCTTTAACGCATTGCCTTCGTAGCTGGTGTGTTTTTTACGCGTGAATGTAGTAGTAGTAGAAGCAGTAGTAGTGGTAGTGGTAGTGGTAGTAGTAGTAGTAGTAGTAGTAGTAGCAGCAGTAGGAGTAGGAGTTGTAGTAGTAGTAGTAGTTGTGGAAGTAGTAGTAGTAGTTGTAGCAGTAGTAGTAGTAGTAGTGGTAGTAGTAGTAGCAGTGGTGGTAGTGGTAGTAGTAGTAGTAGTGGTGGTAGTAGTAGTAGTTGTAGCAGTAGTAGTAGTAGTGGTGGTAGTGGTAGTAGTAGTAGTAGTAGTTGTAATAGTAGTAGTAGTAGTAGTAGTTGTGGTAGTAGTAGTAGTTGTAGCAGTAGTAGTAGTGGTAGTAGTAGTAGTA